CCCCCACCGCATCTTCTTTTATGAATCGCTTAATAAAAGAAGATGCGGTCTTATGGGAAAATCGAAATAGATCATCGTGTGGATACACTGCAAATAAACAAATATACACTATTGTAAACTGACGTCTTTACGATCCTAAATGATCAAAGTCAACTCTTTGAGCATCAAAAATATTGATCACTTTACAATAAAGTTATTGTCCAATGTAGTCATTGACCAGTTCTCCTTTGAACCTATGCCCAATTCAAGTGCCAGTAAAATATGTTGCCTGTCACACTATATTCTTTTGTTGGTAAATGACGCAAGGGGTTAAAAGTTAAATCAAACAATGCAAGGAAAATAAGAGAATTAACAATATGATGCTGACAGAATGTTCTCGTGGCCAACACGTACTCAGATGAATCATAACTTATATTTGTGGCACTGTATTTTCCCACATTTTACTGTAAAACTAGGTCACTGAGGATTTGGCTTTTTATGATAACAGCACACCATGGTCAGATTTTGTTGCAGTAATGAAGAAGAACGGCTACCATTAATGATACGCTTATTGATGATTTTGGTGCAACTGGAAAGGATCTAGTGACCCACACGGTGAATAAATTATGTTTGCTCTTAATAGCCACATGAATAACCAGAAAGCTGTTTTAGTCCATTGGAGGCAGTATTCTGTCTGCAAAGCCACAAAACACATTAACCTCACCCACCAAAGTAGAAAAAAAGTTATGCATTAGTTAATGCATTTTGAAATGAAAAGAAAGAAAACCTTTCAGTAAAGCAAAAATATGGCTGAAATCTGTCTAGCTGCTGCTTCTGCTTTTATTACTGTCACACTGTTAAGACTACTACTTAAATGTTATTTTAATACCTAAGCCTTTTCAGCCAGACATTTAACAAAATGTTATTTATTAGAGAGAAATACTTCAAACCGGGGGATCTGTGGAGAGATGGGGGATTTATTCTCAGAGACCAAACATGGGCTTTCAAGGATGATTTCTCACTTGATGACCTTTGAGGGGGTCAAATGGTCCTGAATTTACGGCTGTATATGTTTTCCTGTTTTGTTTTGTTTTTTACACTGGCCCCACTTGCTCCCCCTGTTAGTCTGCAACTCCACACCCAGAAATCCCAGTGCTGAAACACAAATATTCACAGGAGATCTTTGTCAGGTTGTCTATTATTATTTTGTGCATGTCATATCTTTATCATATGTACTGTACTCTTCAGACTGTTGAGATAATTATTTGACATATTTGATTTAATCAAGTTTGGATTTAAGGGCGTTTTTCTTAGGTTGTCATTTCGATTCAGTTTTCTCATTCATGTTGTGTGTGTGCGTGCTCCTGTTGTGCATCAACGTGATGACGACAGCAATCATAGCAACCAGCATGGCGACGGGGAAGCGTTACTTCGCTCTTCATTTGCTAAATTTGCTAAACCTTTAATAGGTTATTACTTGTACGGTATTTGATTGTATCACTACGTCAGCATGTTTACGGTTAAGTACAGTGAATTTTCTGGATGGATCCGAGCTCTGCCATCTCTCCCTCAGAATATTTCCGAGGTTGGGATATGCTGAGTGTAGTATTATGGACTCAAGAATAGGTATGCTAATGCTATTAGCATTGGTTAGCCATGTAGCTGGATAATGAGTCGGGAGACGTTAGCACATTTAGCTGTTTTGCTTAAGCAGCTATCTAAAGATAAGCTCATGTCCACCGTATTTACTGTTAATAATACGGCTTCAAGTCGGTCAGCACACAACATTTAACCTGTTAAATCTTTATTCGTTTCTTCTTGTTTCTGGTTTGAAGAGATCCACGATATCAGCTTAGTACTGCCCTCTATAAACTTAAAACCAGTATGTACTCTTATTGTTTGCTGGAGTTTCGTCTTATTTATTTTCAGTGTTATTCAAACATTTACTTCAAATTATGTTACCACTTTTTGAGTATTTACTATTTTTATTTGTAAACAGTCAGTGTTATGAGCATTAAAACCTATAGCACAGAATTTACCCCCGAAAGTTTTGGAACCCCTTAACAGTATATTGCCAGGTCCAAAAGAAAATACTCTGTACTGTAATATGTTATTAGTTAAATGATCAAAAAATACTAGGAAACGTATAGATTCCTGTTAACTAAATTAGCATTGCCTTACTGTGTATCTTGCTGTGGTAAACTTGCTGTTTTAGTTATCTAAAAACTATTTAGTCTTGAGAAGCGCTGTGCACCACATACTTATAAAATGAAATGATAAATGAAAAGTTTTTAATCATAAAAAACCTGTAACTGATAAAGTGTGAGTCATAACACTTTTTTACATTTTAGGAAGTGTGTCATCTGGACTGGGGTACAGCCCTGGTGTGAGAGCAAAGGCTTTGAAAAGTAGTCGTAAGTATTATTACATGCTCATGAGTACTGGTCATCTGTAAGAAGAGCTTAATTTAATAGTTTATCATATATTGTTTTGTGTTTTTAGCTTTCTGTCCACTCTCCTCTAGCAAGTTGACACAATCCATCATTAAAGACCACATGGTGTCGCATTACAAAAAGGTTTACTCAGCTAAAGGTGAGCTGCATGGCAGGTATATTTTACAGTTGTGGTCGTGGTAATTTGGGGCTGTTAATGATTTATTTGAACTGTTCTTTTTTCAGGGTGCATTGATTTTACAGCATACATCTTTAATTACTTTTTAAAAAACCCATTAATGGATGGATTTGTTCTGGATTGTCTCAAAAAAGTCAAAAGTTTGCGTACACTCAGATACATACACTAACTTAAATTTCTTAATAACTCATGCTTAAGGTTCTTTTAATATGACAAGGTCAAAGCCTATTAACATCTCATTGATGATCATGATTGACAACTGGTAGTTTTTCTTTGGAGCATAAGAAGGTTGGTTTAACAGGACTCATTAGACTGATTGATATTCAGAACAGTGGGAAAGTCAAAGGAACCCACTGAAGATCTAAGAAGAACAATAGGAGTTTACTCTAGATTTACACAAGTTGGAGCCATTTCTAAACAACTGCAGATTCCAAGATCATCAGTTCAAACAGTTATAAGGAAGGTTTTATGGTTAGATCAGACAAAGATTAAGCTATTTGGCCACAATGACAAGACTTAGGTTTGGAAGATTAAAGGTGAGGCTTTCAAACTTAAGAACACTGTACCATTTGTCAAACATGATGGTTGTAGCTTTGTGCTTTTGAGCTGATTTGCTGCCAGTGGTACTGGTATACTGCACAAAGAGGATGGAATAATAAAGAAGGAAGACTACCTCCAAATTCTTCAACTTCACCTCAAATCAACAACCTGATGATTGAAACTTGGACACAATTGGGTATTCAAATGGGACAATGATCTAAAACACACATCAAAACTGATTTTGGAATGGACAAAGCAAAGCCTCAGTCTCATAGTAAATGTGTGAACTTTGTATAAAAACTGGTTCCATACCAGGAAACCAACATGTGAATGACCTCAACCGATTCTGCCAGGAAGAGTCAAATATCCACCTAGAATTGTACCCAAAGCTTTTTTAAGTGTTTACCCAAAGGATCTCGTCCAGGTGCAACATGCTAAGGGATATCTAACCAAATACTGGTGTAGATTTATGTATATATTTGAGCCTGTCTGTATACTTCAGACCAAAACTAAGTATTGTGTTTAATTCTGTTGTGTAATAATACTAATAGTTTCTATCTTATCCACCAGCTGCCATTGATACCTCAGTACCCAAAAGCTTGCTGTGTAGTGTGAAGTGTAAGTATACATATATATGGTGGCCATACTCTGTTCTTATGACTCATACAGCAGGAGATGTTGGGACAAAATAAATTTAGATTGTGTCATAAGTTTAGATAATAATGAGACAAATAATGCCATAATTAGCCGTGCGTTTAATAAAAATAAATAATAGGCAAATAAAGTAAAGTACATGCTTTGCTGCTGGTATCTGTATCTGTTGTGCTACTTCAGTTGTTTTAATACCTCTTTACAGACAATGACCAGATCAAGCGGGATAGGTTGAGGAAAAATGGCCGTCCTCAGTCAGCACCTGCACAGAGGAATAGCAGAACTTCATACTCTTCATCACAGGTAAGGAAATCTGGCGTTGTCATTGATCACTGCTTCATGTGATGCTAACAAATTTTTACTAGCAGATTTCAAGCAAACGCAAAGCCAACTTTATTTGCTTGGAATCTTTTTCAGTCTACACAACAACAGATTCACCCCATGTGTGTTTTTTAGAGCAGATTATCTGTGCAGTATGATGACAGCACCTACCTGTGCTCGAGGAGCTCCTTGGTCTCCAGCCCTAGGTTCAACACCACCTTTAAAGTCAGTGAGATGGTTTATCCATCGCTCAAAGTCAGCTCTCATCACACTCGCCCAGCATCAGAATTGAAGTATCGGAGCCCGGAGGCAGCTTTTCAAAGAAAGTCGTCAGCTTGTTCATTGGCAGCTTCTGGAGATCAGAGTTCCTACAAAACCTTCCAGGACCCTGTCCGGAAGACATACAGCGGAGACTTGCTACTGAAACATTCACAGCACTTTACACAAGACAAACCTTTCACTCCTAAGACCTTAAAATCGGATAAGAGCTCATACTT